GGTTTGAAGGAACACAGAACTTAAATTTAAAACTTTTCCACCCAAACAAACTCCAAACAAATCTGTCTATCTTAAATATTAAACATAATAAGACCGCTTCTACGCTGTGTGTAAAAAAATCTCTAGGTACGTCCTGAAAAAATCAATTGGGATCAAGCAAGGTACAGAAGTAAAACGAACTAAAACTAGCAAAGGAAATTTAATCGAAATAAATTTTGACCCTTTACCACCAATGATATAATTATGTGGGTCGCCGAATCAACTTCCCACCCTCCTTAATTATGAAACCAGAAATACTCATAAAGGCATAATAGCTCACCTTCAACCCAATGACTTCGATCACGATGTCAGGGAACTATATCTGCCACAATAGCGCACCAAAACCCAGTACGTAATGTGATTTGATTATTTGTTTATTGTTTAGCCTGCAGATACCATACAGAATGCAAGTAGGTATTCCAATTACATGGGATGCTGTACTTAAAGCTAAAACTACATAGTAATTACGATCTAATATGACTAATTCATTCATTCAAAGAGCCGTGAAATATATCGATGTCTCTCTCAAGGCACATGTTATTTAAAGCCAAAAGGATCCTCGATAGTGGCGATGACGGAGTGGTCACTGAAAAGATGATATCGATTTTCCTTAATTTAACATGTGGCACTTTTTTTGTCTAATGTGTAGAACGATTACATGTCGCGCTAAATTGATAATAATGGAATATGTGTGCCGGAATTATCAAAATTTGAATTCGGATGAATTTAGGCCATATTGTACATAATAAATTCAAAAGCAAAAAAACACTTACGATTCCAGATGTACTAGGAGCCAAATCGCATCAGACACTATTAAAATGAGTAGGTATGGAGGGGGGGGGGGCAAAAAGGAGGAGGATTCGTAATACTGTTCGGTACCACCGAACCCCCCAAAAGATTAAATAACTTTCTTCAAACTTCAAACAAAAATTACTCAACGCTAAAACAAGGCTCGATGCAGATTGCGTTCTTACATTCGCTTTAAAGAAGCGACACGTACTCCATTTAACTTAAATAATACCTTAAGGGTGTAATCCAGTAGTACAACATTTATGCGAAAATAGAGCGATTTATATTTCGTCTCAATTCTATAAAACATGAGATGAAAGACGGGGCTAATTTTTTTCGTGTAAATTATACATTTAAAAAGTATGCTACAGAACAATATTTTAATATTTCAGAAAAAACAATTTTTTAGAGCACTGCCAATAAAAAGTGAACTTTTATAGGTAAAATGGCATCAACACAAATTATTTTAAAAATCTCTCTGTAGCATACTCAGAAAAAACATTAGCAAACCATAGAGCCATCGACCAACCCTTCACATAAATTACAAAAAATTTTAGACGAAATATTCATTCGAAATTTTTTACAAAAACTTGCAGCGTTTAGTGAAGTCATTCCCCATTTATAAATGTACAGTAGGCAACACATCATACAGCAGGCCTGACTTCATTAGCGGCATTGTTGCGTTTATCGGGACCAATTTACAAATAGAAACCGGATTCATTAGAAGGTATTATAATTCCATAATATACTGGGTAATAGAATTCACACGGAAAATGTGATTTATTTTTGGGTTAAAAGTTTGCGTCTTTTCTGGCGTTTTTTGTAACACCCCTAAAATTTTAGTGTGATAAAATTTTGAGATTATTCCCATGTAGTATCCTTCGGAAAGAGATATAATTTGCGTAAAAAGCGTTAATTCTCATTTATTTTGTGTTGTTCCCGAATTAGACGAAATTTTGAAACACCCCTAAAATTTCAGTGTGATACAAATTTGAGATTATTTCCCTGTAGCATCCTTCGGAAAGAGTTATAATTTGCGTAAAAAGCGTTAGTTCTCATTTATTTTGTGTTGTTCCCGAATTAGACGATTTTTTGTAACACATCTAGAATATTAGTAAAAAAATGTACATTTTTTTAAAGATATCTAATTTATAGGTACTTATTCGCTTACATGCGTTATTTTCCAGATAAGGTCAATACAATTCATGGAGTAATTACTGGGTTAAAAAAAATATATGCGTCTTATTAAAACCTGGGAAAAGTGAATTTATTGAGGATTAGCCGTTGTGACAATGATTTGCGTTTTCTAATCGATGTTTAATTATATATGCATATTCGTCACAATGACTAATGACCTGGGAAATTAGCGTAATTACTTGTTTACTTTATACAATGGTTGGGCAGGTAAATTCTTCAATCTTTGTTTATTCGTTACCATTTCATTACAAGTAAATATTATGCAACCCATCATACGTCAAATAGAATTAAAATTTAAGTGGAATACAGCCTTAAGGGCCAATCTTTCCATCTCTCGATAAATTTATTTGTCAAATAAGTACCTTCACCACGACTGGATCAACAATGGTATCCACGCAATTTATTCGGAGAGTTATTGTGCGGTGGAAATGGCCTAAATGAAAAATAAGAGGGCGTTAACAAAAATTGAAACTACTCCCTTTGGAATTGGCTGCAATTATTGCCCTGCAAATATTTTCCTTTATACATAACTGGATGAAAATTGAACAAATATTTAATTATTGTTATATTAAAAATTTCACAACGGCGAGAAACTGGATCATATTTACTCTATAAACAGTCTCCATTTACTTTAAAGTTCTTATAGATTAATAACCTTGTATTGGTTTAACAATGACCAATGGGGACGCCTAATATAAAGTTGCAATTGCAGAGCGCGCAACATAATTTAATGAAAATGTAATGCACGGCATCGCTTAATTATATAATTATTTTGGTTTAGGTCGAATGGCGTTTAAACCACAAAATGAATCAATTATTGGACAATTACAGCTCTACATAGTAATTATACAGGCTCCTGTTTTAAAACGTTCCTCCACCAATATTTCGACCCTTGTCAAGGATGTAAACATACCGGGTGGTGCACGGTAAGTATAGAAACATAGGGATTTAACATGGTTTTATGCACATTTTACAGAAAAAAACTGTAGAGCTTAAAGTTGTTCAGAATTAAAAGGTGCATACGTATTGTATTAAGCTTTTGGTATACCCGCAAATTTAAAAATAAATTTTAACATTTCTGTTTTAATAGCAATAGCCATGATTTTTGTTGTTTTATGAATTACTACTAATAACAGAAATGGTGAAATTTATTTTTAAATTAAATCAATTAATGAATAATTAACGAACCTAAAACTTAGTAAGATTGATTTTATTATATTATTTTATTTCCAACTTCTGCACAGAAATAAATATTTTCGGAGCGAAAATATTCGTAACGAGACGCCCAACTTAACACGCTTCTTGATACCGGGTGTTCGTCTACAGAGTGACCACTAAAACTGGTAATTTAAAGGCGGAAAATAGGTGCTTCGTTACAAATGAAATGTCTTTCATCACCGTTCCAAACCAATAGACTTTTTTTTTGGAAAATTTACCTTTAGTGGTGAAGTGTTAATTTGGAAATGCAAGCAGTAAGTGTTAACTGTTTGCCCAACAACTAATTAGCACGACTAGCAGTACGATTGACAACGCTGTTATCCTATACCCGTGTAGGTTTGTACTGCTATCTGCATATGAATCCCATTAAAAATTTCAAAGACATTAGTGTAAAACCAGCATTCAATTGCATAGGTTTGCATAAAAATGCATAAAAAGGGGGTTGAACGACCCTTGTTGGGTTTCTAAGTGACCTTAACAATTCTTTAACAAAATACTTACTTACCTAACAAAAATTTTACCATGATTGACTTACACACTGAAGGTTTCTACTTTCCTAATTTCCTGCAACTTAACTTAAGTACGAGGTTGCTCACAAAATCAAATAGTGAAAGAGTTCCCAGTTACGTTTCCTTTTCCAGATTTTACTATTTATACATTTCAAATTAACTAGACTAATTCTCGCGGTCAGGGTTTTTTTAACTAACCTGAACTTAATATCGAATGAAATACGGTACAATTTTTTACACACAGTTCACCTAAACTATAATCATAAATGGACCCACTAAATTGGAGATTTTCTTTATCGCAGTCGGAACTAACCAACTTTAAATAAGAAAAGCTGATACCACACATCCAATTCTAGTGCGGTTTTAGAAGGTAATACATGCAATATAAGACGGCTTCAATTATCCATTGGTTGAAATACAATGCAAAGATCGATAATACCGCCAACTGTTTACAGATTTATTCTGGTGCTATTTACTGGAAGTTTTTTTCACCCTTTAGACTTTCTGTGATATGTAATGCTAACCTACTTTAACACTTAACATCTCAAAAAAACTCAACGTTACCTATCTGCGAGCACTCGTTAACTGCAGAATTTTTACGGGATGGTTCCATGTAATTAGTATGTATCCGATCTCATGACTTTTCTGGCCATTTCCATAAGTGTATAACTGTATTTATTGTTGATTTGGTTTATTCGCCATACAAGCTGCGCAGCTTTTCACAAACTGTTAATATCTGAAAAGATATTTGGCCACCAAAACTGTGATCTCGCTATTGATTTCATTTGACAAATGTCCTAATGAGATTTATCACATAATTTGTAATACTGTATGAATTCATTTCAAAAATAAATAACATAATTAAATTTAATCACATCAATCTTTACAAACTTTCCTTGTTACGTTAAAAGTTTCCTTGGTGAGCTTGATTAGCTACAACTCCTACATTTCTATGGGCGTTTTCTTCAGTTTCAATTTGCTTTGGCCTTATTCATATAATCCATTCATACGGTTCCAAGCTGCATTTGCAAGCAGCGTTTGTAATTAAATTCCATATAAACGCTCCTCTGCAACCACTGGTCTCAAACCGAATAGCATGTAATCTTAAGGCTTTCATCTTGTGCTCTGGACGTTTCAATCAAGTTTCAAACTACGTACTCAAATAGAGCAAATTGGAGTAATGAGGTTCCACGCAATTGTCACACGTAATTCCAATGCGACATGTTTTAATTTAAACGTTTGTTTCAGGTATTACGTCAAACCACGCTTCCGATAGTTCCAACTCGTCATCAGACGTTCCAAAGACAACTGTCACACCGTTTAGAAATGCCTTCTACAATTCAATTTAGTATTTGCAGTTTGGAACACAAAAGCGAATCAAGCATTGTTGGCCTTATAAAGGTAAGTTTTATCGGAGACAAGAAAAATTATATGGCGACAATGTTCCTCCAAGATGATCCTTGTTTAGTAGTTTTCGTAAAGTTCGTCGGGAAACTTGCTCATTGTTCGAAGTACGGTTTGCCATTTCGTTTTATTTATTATTGCAATAAAGCGCGCAAGGGTCAAGTTTGTTACCCTTTTGACCGTGAACTAACCGGGATGCGCGAGGGAATTATTGTACAATTTTCAGAAAAGTTCACCAATAACACAATGTTCCATCTAAAAATCGTCAATTGTATAATATATTTCAGGCACAGATGGAGGTTGTAAACGGAAATTAGCTAAGTAAAATGTTAAGTGTACTGTTGAATTACAAACGTTCAATAAAGCATTTGGATTACGACCCTAAATACATAAGATCGGAATAAATGAGGTTAAGCTGTCATTAGGTTCGAAATGAGAAAATGGAACGTAGTCGGATCCTATCTTAGTAATTATCTTGCGTAGCTTGTTATGGTGGCACTTTCTGTTTATTGTTTACAAGAAGATTCTTAATGTATAGCTGTCAGGGGTAAAAAAATTAATGAAGTATAAGTTGATATATAAAATACTTGCGTCTGTATACTAGCATTCAGTATTTCTTTTTCATGCCTTTTGTCCCAGAAAAAGAGGCAACGACGCCACAAAAATATAGTCTCTGAGATTTCCATACGCCCCTACGTCCTATGACCTTAGGCCTCGGCACCGAAACTACGTAGACGGCTTCGATTTTTTAAACATAGATTTTACGAATAAAAGTAGCCGCGTGTCTGCTATTCTCAATTCTATTCAATTTTGTTATTTGGCAAACAAAAAAATGCCTTTAAATAGAAAATGTTAGCAATAAGTATCCTCAAAGAAAATATGAATGTAAGTCTAATTAATAAAAACGTAGCACGAAGAGTCCTAATCTGAAATGCCTAAGTCCTATCTCAAAGTTGCACTTAAATTTGTCGTCTAAATTAGCACCTCTTTAATAAAACAAGTTGGAAGATTTTAATAATGGGCAAAACTGAACTTTTATATGTGCATAATGAAACAGTGCAGTCGAATTATTCAGGTAAGCTATAATTTAGAGCAGATAATCGCTATAAGAGAAGGATTCTAATATTCCACCTGGGCTATTTTTGTAAATAAATAATTTCCTTGTTCTTATTTTCGAACCGATCTCGTAATGAGTAATGAAAACAATTGACACACATTGATACACATCCATGAATATATTGATAATAAGGTCTTTATTTGTTTAGACAATTAGAAGGAAAAGAAACATAATTCATTTTAAGGAGGATTTTAGGGAGATATAATAGGCGAAGTCGGGCTACTCTACTTAACCTACGATACTCGTCCTCTAAACATAAATTAAACTGAAATTAAATGACTTAATGGCATAACTAAGCAAAAATGAGAAACAAAAATATATCAATATTTCAACGACCAAACAACTAGCTAAAAGATAAATAAGGAATGAAAGTTAGATCTCAAGTGTGGCTAGGTAGTGATTCACACGCTGCAAATTCAAAAAGTATTGTTTAAGTTTAAATTTGAACTTATTGATATTAAATATCTTAAACTCATCAATAAATAAATTAACTAATTTCACGGCATTATAAATAAATGATCTTTTATACAAAGCGGTCCGGTGCTGTGGAATTGTAAATTGTGCATTATGCCTAGTATTGTGCGAGTGAGTACTGTGCCTTAAATTGAATTTGGACTTCAACTTACATGTAGTATTGTTGTTTAAGAATTTGTGTACAAATGTACCCCTATGTAAGTGCCTTCTATTTGCCATGTTTAACCACCCAGATTCCTGAAATTTATGTGAAATGTGATCAAACTTTCTCACTCCATACACCAAACGGATACAGGAATTCTGCATCCTTTGAATACGTCTGCTAGTTACACAATCTAGACACGGGCCGTAATAAAGTCACAGTAATTAAATTTTGACAAAACTAAAGTCTCACATAGTAACTTTTTTAAATTATTATTAAGAGTGTGTCTAATATTATATATACATTTTAAAGACAAGAACGCATTTTGAACCATTTTGCTCACGTGAGCTCTAAACCGAAGTTGATTATCAAGTGTTAGTCCCAAATTATTTACTGTTTCAGTATCAGGTATTAAAATATTATTTACATACACACCACAATTAGTTTTCATATATTCAATATCAGTTTTCTTACCAAAAAATATACAGCAACATTTACTAGGATTAAGTACAAGATTAAAATCGTTAGAACGCTGATTTATTCTGAGTAAGTCCTGGTTTAAATTATTTAACGCAGTAGATGCATTAACCTTATCAAAAGAAGAGTATAATTGTATGTCATCAGCGTATGCCACAATATTGCAACTTGAAACGCATCTTAGGATATCCGAAGTATAAATAATAAATAATAAGGGTCCAAGTACGGATCCTTGAGGAACTCCTTGAACTATATTAAACTTACTTGAAAGTTTCTGGTTAACACGAATCTGTAGGTACCGATTTTGTAAATAAGAAGAAATTATGTCTAATGCGTTTCTATTGAATCCAATGTAACACAAAATTGAACAAAGTAAATTATGATCAATCGTGTCGAAGGTTTCTAGGAGAACAATTACAGACAATAAACCACGATCCCTTGCCCTAAGCACATCTTGAGTAACTGTCGCAAGTGCAGTAGCAGTGCTATAATTCTTTCTAAAGCCACATTGCAAATCAGGAATAAAATTGATTTTGTTAACGAAGTCGTATATTTGCTCAGACAACATTTTTTCAAATATTTTCGCCATGGCAGGAATAATACTAATGATTCTCAAATCCGAGAATTGAGTTGGTGAGTTTTTCTTTTTAATAGGAACACCAATAGAAGTCTTCCATGTATTGGGGAAATATCCTTGCTCAATACAACAGTTATATATATGCATTAGGTACATGTAAATAAACGGAGCACAATACTGCAACATTTTAATAGTAATTCCATCGCAACCACAACTGTTCGTTTTAATTGACTGCATTTTTTCTTCTACCTCTTTTTCAGTAGTGAATTTGAAATGGAAGTGTTTACTACCTGCAAATTTGTGGTTATTATAGTAATCAATCATTGTATTGCAATTAGTGTTATTGGAACCCGTACAAAAATGTCTACAGATCTCATCTGGATCAGAAAGGTGGCAAGGTAAGTCATAAGATGATGTTGAATTAATATTAAATTGTTTTAGAGTATTCCATATTTTCGATGGGTTACTTTTATTACGAGACATTACTGAGTTTAGATAGTCTCTCTTAGATTTTCTCACTGCTGTCAACGTTGAGTACTACTGTTGGGACCTACCCTAGTCGGCTCTTTAATTATTTAAGTTAAACTGTATTCGTTAAAAAGTAATTCAACAGAGTTGATGTTATTAAGAAAATTGACATTAAGATCCCCTAGGCAGATAACTAAATCAGCAACAGTAAGGATATCTGAAAGAATATTGTCGAAGTCATCTAGTACAGACCTTAGATTTGTGTTCGGTGGTCTATAGAATCCTCCAAATACAACTTTTTTAGCAGAAATGTGGATAGTTATGACTAGATATTCTAAATAATTAGTTATGCTAAATTCAAACTGAATAGGAGTAAACCTGTACACAGATTTTACATACACAAGTATACCTCCACCTCTACCGTATACTCGGTCCTTTCTGAGTATATTATATCCATCTATGCTAATGCAACTGGATTCCACATCACACTGCAACCATGTTTCAGTAACCATAACGATATCAAAATCATTGCGTACGGCCAGCTCGTGAAATTCGTCAAAACCTGGAAGAATAGATCTTACATTAACATGAGCCACTTTCATATTATATCTATTAACATGTTAACGAAGAAAAAGAAATATTAAAAAAGGTATACCGCTTCAATTTGTTCAGAAATACAAAAATAAAATTAGAAAAATATAAGGTATGAATAAGTAACACTAGCACCACCTAAAATCAACTCAAACAATTATTTAGAACGTAAATCTCACCTTATGACCTAAACGATATGAAAATGTAAATATTTACTCTTATACCTAACAATTGATTGATAAATAAATGTATGTGTTACAATGCAAAATAAAATTGAATTTCTAAAATAATAACAATTAATAACTAAATCACTAACTGAAGATCGTTCCTAATTGGCATGGTTAGCGGTGGCTTCCGATTGTATCTTGTCCATATCAGTGCAACATTTGACCGAGTACGTTTTTCCGTTAGTATTAACATAAATTTTTCCATAGCGCGTCCAGCAGTTTCTGAACCCAAATTTGTCGGCAGCTGCTTTCAAAACTAGCAGGCGTTGAGTTGTTAGATCTTCTTTAAAGACAATCTTAGATCCTTTTAAATATTCACTCCATTATCTGTAGGTTTCCCGATTCTATGACATTTATCAATGGCATCTTTGGGCAAGTTTACTTGTAAATTGTTGTTGATCACAGCTAGAACCTTGTTGATAACAACTTCTTCCTCATCTTCTTTTAGACCGAAAATTGATATTAAATTGATATTGATATGATGGCGTACTAGACGAACGGTTCCTAAATCGCAAAAGGGCAATAATTTTCCACGTAACTTCATGCTACCCCTTAAATTTAGAAAAACGGCGAGAACGAGAGCTTATGTGTCCAACATAGACGTACAAACACGCATAAATAAGTAATCATTATATTATAGGGTCAACTGCAATGTACAATAAAGCTTACCATGCTCTGATAAAAAACAAGATAGTTTATTATCTATTTTGCACAAATTTGAAGACCTAATCTACCGATTAACTGTTCAATGTGAATGGCAAGTCGGAGATCTTAGTTTACGCAACACCTCACCTTCATTAAAAGTTGTTCATGCGTGATATCTCATAACACGTATTCGAAATTCGAAGACCGCGGATAAATTATAGGTTGGTAATTAAATAATATTTATTATTTGATCGGTGAAAGCCAAACGTGTAAAAACTAGATGACTGTCTAAATTTACTTTCTAGCCGTCCTTCCGTCCGAAACTCCTATATTTTATTGATATTGATTAATTAAAGGCAAGACCAGTAGACTAGAAACGTTTTATTTGAGAACAGTAAAAAAGGTAAGAAAATAAGGTACATAAGGTATATAACAGTTTTATATAATACTACCAACAGTCGTCGTTTAGTGGTGGAGATCCCAACCATGTCCACCGAAATCACCGCCTAAACCGCCAAAGCCGTGGTGATCGTGCTCCTTGATGAAAACTGGCACCTTCTTTTCTACGATGACTGGAACTTTGACAGGGTAAGGAACTGGCTTGTGCACTGGGTAAGGTACGGGTTTGTGGACTGGTACTGGGACTGGATGTGGTACCGGTACCTTCACTGGTACTTTGACGGGATAAGGCACGTGTTTCTCAACTGGGTACGGCACGAGTTTTTCTACTGGAACTGGGTAGGGTTTTGGCACATGCACTGGGTAGTGTTTGATAACTGGAACGGGTACTTTGACTGGTACTGGATATGGTACTTTTTTCTCAATGTGTACCGGATAAGGTGCCGGCACTGGAACTTTGACGGTCTTCTCAATCGTTATCGACTTCACATGTCCGTGATCTTCAAAACCTCCTCCCAATTCAAGGCCACCATGGTCCAATTCAAGCCCTCCGAAGTCACCGCCGTGACCGTATCCAAAATCGAGTAATCCCCGCTTATCCTGCTTCTTCGCAGGTTCGGCCGCCTTAGCATCCTCTACAGCCTTCTTCTCCTCCGCGGGGTACGCAGATGCAAGAACTAAGCCCGCAAAGAACACAACTGCCTAAAAAAGGAAAATTAAACGAAAGTCCTAAATCGCACCCGTCTACTTACTTGAATCCTCATGTTTCTACCCGTAAAACTGATGAACAACGACTGTTGATTTGCTTTTAGGAAACGACGATATTTATACTCGATCGACAGGGATGCATTGTGAAATTACGTACATAATAACCCCTTCCTAGTGAAGTCTTTAGTTAAACCAGTGAAATAACGCATGTTTCCTGTTACTTACGTTATATTCCGGTCGAGGAAGAAAAATTTTCTGCACCTTGTAAATTACTAATATAATTACACGTGCTACATACACGTTACGCCCGACTGAATACGTTCGTGCGCAATTGTTTCAATTTCTAAATAGAAAAATAGAGCATTATCCTTTCAAAAAAAATGTGATCTAGACCAAAAGAGATAAGAATTTTAAATCGCTGTCACCGACTTCCTCATTTTCTCTATTCGGCATACGCTACTTCCTCGATCCACTTTATTTATTACGATTTGCGTATACGTCTATTTTAATTATATAATTTTGAATTTTGTAATTACAAACGTAATGCAGAAATATATAGAAATGTGATTTGTGAAAGCACGTTATAAAGAAAGCGTAATTTGTTTATTGTACAATTCTGTGCCCGTTTATCGTTTCTAGTTTGTAAAGTGATGTAAACGCCTAATGATTAATAATGCAATCACCAATGAAAAGTATAGTATGTGTAACGTTCGTATAATTACTAATTGTAATTATAATTTTATACCTTTTGGTTTCAGTGGATTTATGCAATGGCAGGGACTCTTGTGTGCGTGCAGTTACTTTTACCTTTGAATGAGTTCGATAACTACGCAATAAAATCTACCAAAATCGACTGTCAAAGACAGCGAGTGGATTATTTTGCTTTATAATAAATTTCCGCATTCGGCGGGTTTCTGTAGTTATAGCGAGTTAATGTAACGCGTCAATCAATCATGTTATAAATAAAAATTTTCACATTCCGCATCTCACGTAAGCATGAAAATTGTATTAACCTACAAATCGAGATCTCTTAAATTCATAGGAGCGGTTGAAAACGGTGTACGTTTGTCGCTAATGATGAGAAAAGTATAGTTGAGTTCCGTTTTTTACTTTTATTATGTAATTTGAATCTGAATGTGTTTAATGATTTTTGTTCTATTGGCAAAATACTTTTCGCAGCCCAAAAGTTGAGTTAAATATTTTGTTTTTTGTGGGCGAATTCGGATTTCGTACTGAAAATAAATAAATAATAACAAGAATGGGGTTTAATTTGTCAAATTAATTAGCAAAATAGTGATTGTAATAAGGAAATATCCTGGGAAATATGCAATACTGTAAGTTCGAATTTGCTTTTTTATATGAACAATTTTTTACATTATATTTTTACAGATGCCCATTAAAGATTCTTCCAGTAAATTGACGCACGGAAACAAAATTGAATATAATAGAAATATAATCATTAAATTGAGAAATTACTTTGTGATCCTAGGTTATATTTCGTTTGGGATTAGTTAGCCCTTACACCTAGCGTTTGGTTAGTCCGAAGCATTATGAATACGTATATGGAAATATAAGCACCGGATATAGATTAAAAATTGCTGCAGGACAGCTACAATATAGACGCAGCTGTACCCTGAATTTTAGGTCAAATTCAGACATTTATTTTCTACAAAGCTTAGAAAGTATCAGTTCCTAAATAAATCTATGCACTAAATTCGATGTTGAACAACGAACTAGAAAAAGCATAAGCCGCTGGTGTGTGAAAATAGAAAGGTAAATATTTAATGTACGAGTATGTCCGCTCTCCGCTCTCGAAGAGTTTAATACAATACGAGAAGACATAAATGACGTAACTAACGGCTTCTCCATTCTTTTTATTCGTGTCAGATTCTGCGGACTCTTCGCAGTTCTCCTTAATTTACGATTCATCAGGTAGCTCAGGTTCTTTAAATTTCTTCGGATGGTCAGTTTCTTTCGATGTATCAATTTCTCTTTTCCATTTTGCAGTTTCTTCATGTTCTTCAAATACATAAGATCTCTCGTTTTCTCAAATTCCGCATATTATTGACGATTTTAGATTCTTCAAGTCTTAAAATACGAATTTATACTAAGCCCTTCCTCGCAGTTGTTCACCAGAAATTTTAACACTTCTTCAAGTCAATTTTTTTTACTACGGCAATGATCTTAGGGGTCCCCCAATCCGGCACTGCAATCGTGACTTATTTTATACTTACAAAGTACAGAACTCTGTGGAAAAACTACGAGCAGAGTCACCTAACTTTCAAATCTAAACGACGGACGCCCCGTGCGGCACCTTTGAATCTCGGGAGCAATCAGCTCGATTTGGATGGCACGAATTAATTCCCACGTTGTCAGATCGGGTCTTTTATACGGTGGGACGTGAGACATAATACTTATAGCACGGCCTGATGATGGCATAACTATTTTGCCGAAATCGATTGCCCCCTAGGTCCTAGTACCATATTCCCTTTGCCGGTAACTACTTCCGACGTCCCGTTCACCGACGCCAATTTAAAAAAATCGGATCAAAAATGTAACAGAAGATAGGAAAAAAACTGAAAAATCGCCACGTCAGTGTAACGCACTTGGGGGTGGCGTCCAGATGTCGCCGACCCTACAATCATCTAGCCGCGTCCTTAAAGTCGTTAATTACACGGCTCCGGTCGGGATATGTATAATCCTCGTCTTTCTACAAGCGTTCTTCTACTGGTTCGCATTTGCTGCCGACCAGCCGGCCGGCCTTTTTACAAATAACCTACAACAATGCGCTAATAAAAAACAGCTGATTATTAAAGAGCTCCTAAAGAGTTCATAATTTTACGGTGTGAGTCCGTCTGTCCGTTAACACGATATCTCGAAACGAATGGACCGATTACGATGAAATTTGGCAAGTGGATTCTTTATCAAATTTGTACATCCGAGTAACTTTAGCGGATTTTCCATGAATTGATCAATACTTCCCGAAAGGTCAGGTAACGGACCATTTATGTGTACAAAGGAAAACAAGTTCGGGCATTAATATTCTTATAAATGATAATAAACGCACGCGCACACTTGATGTTTAAAATATGCGATATGTTTGCCTTTACTAGCAGAATCTCTGGTTAAAATTTTCAAAAAATTTCTCTAAAATACGAAAGTTGACATTGCGTAAACCAAATTAATCGTCAAGATTTTTCGTGCCTCATGTGCCAGAGCTATTAGCTGCCGAATGCAAAAAAGAACGAACTAAATATCTAGAAAGCTGTAAGAATAGTTCAGGTTTCGGAGGGACGGACGCACGAAGAAAGTGGTCATAATAGCGCCTTCCAAAATGAATTGGAAAATGCGCTAAAAATTCCGTATATAAGTATAGAAGTCGTTCCATTGTTTTAAGTTACTTGTCTTCTCACTATAGGACTAAAATTTTGATATTTTGGCACAAAAAAATTATTTTCGAAATATGATTACATTAGTTATTTGTATAGCTTGATAAAAGGCACGAAATTGTATTATTAGAAATCAGATTTGAACGGTTCGAACCTCTTCTTTTAAAGGAAATTAATTAGTTGAAAGTATATTAACAGAGAACACGTTTTTGGCATGGTTGATTTATTTATTAAATTTGAAAAGTTGTATTAATCGAATGGTTGCGCATCGAGGAAAAAAAAGAAATAAGCGACAAGTTCAGTGATGATATAGAAGACTAAACAAACTAATTTCCGCTAATGCGAAATCAATAATGAAAGGAGATTTGAAAGGAAAAATTCTAAAATATGGTTTAATTTTACGTCATATCTCGGAAATTCTCTGAGTGTGAGGAAAACAGATGGTAGATTATTTGCAAAAGAACAAATTGCGGGGGTTCTAAAATTTATATCACTTTGTAATCTAAAGGGAGAACCGTGAAACGTTGGTCTGAAGTTAATTGTCCTTGCATTATCCTCTGTATATGCTCAGTGTTTTACAATTGAAGTCGAATGTCTTCTTCAACATGCAATTTCGACAATCGTCCACGTTAAAATAAAAACAAAAATTTCTGGCAACATTGAAGATGATGCAGATGCGACTACTTACCACATCTACAATTACTACGCGGATATTAAAAAGAAATCGACGGAGTTAGTTTATAAAATCGATTTCAAAGTCTGTCGCCCAAAACTTTGGTAGTTATAATCCATGAAGTCTCTACATAAAACTTGGAAAGTTTTGCATTAATTTACCTGGGTATTCAACAAAATATGCGAGTGAACGTACCACTAACTGTAGAGAAACTTGGATCTTAGATAGTCCGACTAAATTTAATTAAACGAAGCAGATACCTACGTTTGGACGTAAATACAAAACAGGATTAAGACCTTTCTTATACGCTCCACAATTTATCGTCTGTTTGGGTCGTTGGCTTGCAGGCGAAGACGCCTTTTGTTTCCTAACTCAAAACTGTACGCCACGATGACTGAAAGGAACGAATGTCGTTAATTGAGTTTCGGAAACAATGCACAAGAATCTCGTACGAAGTGTGAAATAGAGTCGCATCAAATTACGAGGGAATGCGCTAACTTTTTGTCCGTTTATTATTAGAGGATTATAAAATTGTGCTTTCCATGTTAAATTTTTGGAGTTACCCAACTAGAGAACTACAAAACTTACTAAGCTACAAGGAATGAATTTTAAAACGGTTGAACCGTGTTCGTCGATAGTTTATTCACCTTGCTCGAGGCATGGATCAGGCGTAGCATAGATGGTTTTCTTTGTAAAACTTGTGAAATCGATGGTTAGTATAACTTTGGAACTTCAATACATAACATTAACAGCAAACCTTACCAAGAAGGGTCAATTGTTTTTTGCGTACCTATGCCATAATCCCACTTCTGACGATCCGCACCTAAGAAACTGTTTATCAAAAAGATTTTTGAGCCTAGCGCAAATCAGCGAGCTAACCCGTTTCTTTATGTAGTTAATAAATTCAATAAACTTAATTGGTGCAGTCGGTAGGACGGGAGAAAGTTCGGAACCGAAGGAAACGTCTATTTAGGATTACTGATCCAACAACTTATAAGAAATTCATTAAAAGAGTTAACCAGTTAATCATCTTCCACGAACTTACTTTTAGATGAAAGAGTTAAATTCAATGATAACATTCCTTATTTATTTTTACTTACTCGTCCATATTTGTATACACGTGGAGTTTAAATGGTATTTATTTAAGGAATTCATTCAAATTAATGCCAATTAACCACAATGTACACGAACTTCTTACATCTTTCATTAAATATAGTACAATTCACATTCAGATGGCAGTATACGGGTATAGGATAACAGCGTTGCCAATCCTACTGATGTCA